ATTTGGCTAATTGAATCCTTGAATTAAGTGAAACATGAACATTTTATAGGAAATTTCCAAAAATAAAATGGGTTTATGAAAAATAAAAATGCTGAAAAAAATACTGTCAGGAAAACAAATCGAAGTCCAAAACAGTTGATAATCGACAGTCTGGTCATTATGAATAACTAACGTCCAATAGTTTAAATGAGGGGCTGATATTTGTATTAAGTAGTGCTAATAATCGTTTTAAACGATTGTTTTCAACAATTAAAAATGGCCCAAATGTTAAGTGAACAAGCAAACAGAAATTACAAACGAAATGATATCATAAGGCCTTACAGTAAAAGTTTACTATTATGAATATACTGTGGAACATAGAGGATTGATGGTTTAAAACTGACTGAGCGCACCTCAGTTAAGTTCGTCAACTTTAAACTGTAATGAAATACCCGTCCTTGACTACAAATACCCAGGTTGATCTCAACCTGGGTAACTGTAGTGACTATGAGTATTGTAAGCACCAAATATGTCATGTGAACATCTGAACAGTTTTTGGGGGGGGTCAACCTCATTTTACCTCATTTTACCTCATCCCAATTTTGCCTTTTTTGGCTGGCCTCATGAGGTAAAATGAGGTAAATTTCGGCAAACATTTTTAACAGGTAAAATTCTCTAAATCGTCAATTTAGTCACGAAGGAGTATGGAAGGAGTTCTAAATGTGTGCTCCTCTAATATAAACAGTAGGAAATGGTTAACTTTAGTCGAGGTCTCAGGTCTCTACAATGTCGGGAAGTTCCTGCAGGAATTTGCGCATTGCGCTTGAAGCGCAAGATTCACAGCGCCAAAAGCGAAGGTCGTAGAGACATGAGACCTTGACTAAAGTTAACCATTTCATACCATTGCTATAAGTATGCCACTTTCAGAGTCCTGAACACACTCCCATATCTCTTAATCGTCAATTGTATGAATTTTACCTGTTAAAATATATCATCTTTTACTGATATCAATTTAGTTTAACACAATATGAGAATATAAAGAGGAAGGTTTTCTTGGAGACCTGGACCATCAAAATAGTGTACATTGCTGATGTCATTGTCAAGACTCCATAATAAGAGGGTCTAGTTGTGGGATTATGCTGGATAACAGATATGATAAGTGGTAACATCCTACAAAAGAATGTTAGCTTACTAAGGAATTTTCCTCTTACCGAATTATACAAGAAGTTAACTAAGTTCCTCCTAGTCCTAAGCATTATCTTGTTTCAGAGGGAATGAGTGATATAAAAAGATGAGGCCAAAGAATTAGTTGTGAAGAAGGCATTTGTACTCTGTAATTTCTAAGCTAATTTTTTTTCGATATTTATAGCTATTTACTGATCTTGTTTTGACGTATCAGCAAGAGATCACTGGACCTCGTTAGTTGTTAGTCATGTTATACTGATTCAGTTAGTGACGAGCTATGAAGTAATCATTCGACCTCATTTAATACTGATCCTATCAATGACGAGCTATGAAGTAATCAGTGGATCTCGTCATTTGTCAATGCTTATCCTGTCCGGACTGTCAGTGACGAGTTATGAAGAAATAAATGAAGACGTCATTAATTCCTTGTTCCAAGAAGATATTCCTCTGGTAACAACCCGTTCTGGCCTGCTTCTGAACATAATATGAAGATTCGAAAACCTAGTCTACCTAAATTGGAACTTGCTGACTGCATTGGAAAATGGAGAACAATCGATAAATGATAATCAGTGCCAGGATATAATCAAACTTGAATTCGGAATCCAAGGAAAACCTTCCTTTTTTATATTATCATATTGTGCGTTAGTTTGGTGTGAAGTAATATGTTCTTTTTTAAAACTAACAGTGTTTTAAACTAAATTGATATCAGTTAAAGATGATATATTTTAACAGGTAAAATTCATATAATTGACGATTAAGAGCTGTAGGAGTGTGTTCAGGACTCTGAAAGTGGCATACTCTGATAGCAATGGTATGAAATGGTTAACTTTAGTCAAGGTCTCATGTCTCTAGGACCTTCGCTTTTGGCGCAGTGAATCTTGCGCTTCAAGCGCAATGCGCAAATTCCTGCAGGAACTTCCCGACATTGTAGAGACCTGAAACCTCGACTAAAGTTAACCATTTCCTACTGTTTATATTAGAGGAGCACACATTTAGAACTCCTTCCAAACTCCTTCGTGACTAAATTGACGATTTAGATAATTTTACCTGTTAAAAATTGGTGAAAAATATGGGCGTGGCCCAAGTCAGTATTATACGAAACCGTAGACACAAAAAATTGTTTGGTTGTTCCTGATCCTGTAGAGCAATTAATTAGAGGTGATATCTAATTATTTGAACGAAAAGTGGTTTTGTGAACCGCCCTTTATTCTACAGCGAATCATGAACATTGAACATGTACATAAGAACTTAGAATTGCATGAAGTATGAGTTTATATGAGTAATTTATTATGAAATGACCTTTCACTATGCAATTTCGACTAAATTCATGTAGATATCCAATCCAGTTCCATGCACAACTGTTGTCTACATTTGGTCTAGTTAGACACAATTTGTTTCAGAGTGACTCGATAATCGCAATATCAAACTAAGATATTATTTAAATGGTCCATGTCATGCAATGCATAAATATCCCCATAAATTGGCAACTGCCAAAGTGACACTAAAGTTATTGCTAATTCCTTTACAAAACTTAGCAAGTGCTATTAACAATTTCCTAATGGATCATGGAAATTGAAATGTTCAATTTTCTTTTCATAAATAATAATTATAATTCGAAGTTTTATTTACCCAAGTTTGGAGAGTAAGTAGGTTAAACTGGGAATGCCCCTTCCCAGGGACCACATCACCCCTAATAAACCATTAAATATCACGGGAGACCATGCACAGCCTCGAATTATAGTATAATGACTTCGAATAAACCTTTTTTGTCTCTAAAAAAAGGCTTAGAAAACTAGATTTATTTACCTCATTTTACCTCATTTTACCTCATCCCAATTTTGCCTTTTTTGGCTGGCCTCATGAGGTAAAATGAGGTTGACCCCCCCCCCCCCCCCCCCCCGTTTGTAATTGGTCAATTTATTTCTACGCACGAAACCAAACACCAAAATCAGCTCCTGAGTAGGCCTCAGAAAGAATCTTTGGCTGATGATTTTTTCCTTCACAATTATTTGAACAATGTAACGGTTTATTTTTCTTCAAATTTACACATGAGTAGAACCGATTGTCCGCGCCAAAATTATGTACCGGCAACTACGGTAGCCGTGGTTTCTGAGTGTGGTTGATGATTAATTATGAAGTATGAACTACGCATAATCTATGAGGAGATAATTTTTGAATAGAAATGATGATTGTTAGAAAAATATTGTATATAAGGTATTGCCTGTAATCGTTTGAACGACGGATGACCGGATTGTTACGCAAACGGTGCCCAACAAACAGAATTTACAAGCGAAATCATTTTTAACGGGCCTATAGTTTTATTTAAAGCAAAATCTATTATTATATATTTATGACCTCTCGTTTATGAATCTGTGAAACTGAAATGATTAATGATCTGGGACTGACTGTACACACTTCAGCTAAATTTGTTATCTCAAAATAAATACGCGTCCTTGTGTGCTAGCCCTGATTTAACCATACGTCACTGTACCATGTTGAAAACCATGAGTATTCTGAGCACCAAATTTGTCACGTGAACAAATAGGCAGTGTTTGATTGGTCCTAGTAGGCTGAGAATTTCAGAGGAAATCTTTTGAAATTGTTGGCTCTTGTACGTCTTGGCTATGTAGGTGATCATGTTTCTTTGGACATTTGATCGCCACAGAAACTTAAGTCCTCAACGATTAAAAATGGCCCAAATGTTAAGTGAACAAGCAGTGCACAGAAATTACAAGCGAAATGTATCAAGGCATCTTTACAGTAAAAGTTTGCTGTTATGTTGAAAGTAAAATAATCGCAAAAGTTCGTTTATAAATATATACTGTGGAACTGAGAGGATTGATGGTTTAAAACTGACTGAGCGTACCTCAGTAAATTCGTCAACTCTAAACTGTAAATAAATACCCGTGGCCGTCCTGGTACGTACTACCCCTGATCTCAACCTGGGTAAATATAGTGACTATGGGTATTGTGGGCACAGAATATGTCACGTGAACATCTGAACAGTTTGTAATTGGTCTATCTATTTCTAAGCACGAAACCAAACACCAAAATCAGCTCTTGAGTAGGCCTCAGAATGAATCTTTGGCTGATGATTTTTTCCTCCAAATTTATTTGAATAATATAACGGTTTATTTTTCTTCAAATTTACACATGAGTAGAACCAATTGTCCGCGCTAAAATGTACCGTCAACTAGCCGTGGTTGATGAGTGTGGTTGATGATTAATTATGAAGTATGAACTACACATAATCTATGAGGTGATCATTTTTGAATAGAAATGATGATTGTTAGAAAAATATTGTATACGATATTGCCTGTAATCGTTTGAATGATGGTCGACGGACGACCGGATTGTTATGCAAACGGTGCCCAACAAACAGAATTTACAAGCGAAATCATTTTTAACGGGCCTATAGTTTTGGGTAGTTTTATTTAAAGCAAAATCTATTATTATATATTTATGACCTCTCGTTTATGAATCTGTGAAACTGAAATGATTAATGATCTGGGACTGACTGTACACACTTCAGCTAAATTTGTTATCTCAAAATAAATACGCGTCCTTGTGTGCTAGCCCTGATTTAACCATACGTCACTGTATACCATGTTGAAAACCATGAGTATTCTGAGCACCAAATTTGTCACGTGAACTAATAGGCAGTGTTTGATTGGTCCTAGTAGGCTGAGAATTTCAGAGGAAATCTCTTGAAATTGTTGGCTCTTGTACGTCTTGGTTATGTAGGTGATGATGTTTCTTTGGACATTCTGATTGCCACAGAAACTTAAGTCCTCACTCCCTAAGTCTATTCTCTCTAATATATTGCACTTTTCCAGGAAGCAGGAGGAAAAGTGACGGAGTGTGAGCGTCAGATAGCACTGGCTGATGTTGTCATACTCAACAAACTAGATCTTATCAACGATACTATCAAAGATAACATCAGTAAAAAGATACAGAGTATCAACAGTTCTTGTGATATACAGTATACCTCTTACAGTCGGATTGATCTAGATACGATACTTGGAATTCAGGCTTACTCCAGCGCTGCTCCTCCTCCAAGGTTTTACTTTTTTAATTAATTAATTAATTAATTCTCATCTTCATGTAGAGTAAACCTCGATCATAGAGGTTCTGAAGAGTATCCTAAGTTCCACAATTATAATGAATTTGCACTCCAGTTCCAACAAATAAATACAGTGAGCTGTGGTATCGATATTTGTATAGTTCCACAAACATTATTTTGCTAAATGTTTTGCAGTCCTTGTTGGATTATTCCAGAGTTTCCTGCTGTGTACAGTAACACCGTCCCAATCTTCAGCACGATAGAACACAATATATCATCATCTATCAGCACAGTTACCATGACAACTGATATTATCATGAAAAGAGGAGATATAGAGAGTGCTTTAGAGACTTTGTTATGGGAGGATCTTGATTCGTTCTCTAATTCCGATAACAAGTTGGTTGAGTAAAAAATTTCTATTTTTTAATTTCGATTTTGTCAAGAACTAGAATATATATATATTCTATTTATGATCATAAGTTTTTCACTGGAATACTGACTAATCTTTATCTCTCCAGAAAAGAATCACACTCAATGGAGGACACGGGAGGAATGAACATTCTGCGGTTAAAAGGGAAGCTTCAAACCCCAGACGGTTGGATTATGATCCAAGGAGTAAGAGATATGTTCGATATAACCGAGATAAAGGGAGATAATATCCCGTACCAACATTTAGTCTTTATCGGGGTCCACCTGGACAGAGTAAGACTTTGTGACGTCACTAAAATGAGAGTCAGATGACCTGGAGTCTGGAGTCTGTTATTTTAGATATACTTTATTTAAGAAGTTTGTTTAAAAGTTAAAAGTTTATTTGACATTTTCTAGCGTCATTATTGAGGGTCGATAAATTGGAAGAAATGTTTGGAATATTGTTTATATTGGTGCGTGCGGCACTTTTTTATAACTTATTATCATTAGTCGTGTTGATCATGTGCTGTTCTTTAAAGAAATATATTTTGATCATGTCTTCAATCATCTTTATTAAATTGTTTACTTTACTTTACTGTTTATATTAAGTTCTTAAAAACTAAATCGTAATATTCCACTTAAATTGGAAATTCTCGTAGATTGACTGAACAATGACCTATTATAAGATTTCATAAAGCTCCGATTTCCTCAACTAACCCTGACACTACACAGCATGTTGTTGGCAGCCACCACCGCCCGTACCCAGCAGGTAGCCGGTCTCTCCACCCTGACCGCCCTACCCAAGAAGATCCTGACGCGTGTTGTGGGGAAGCTGAAGGTGGACGAGGAGTACTCTGCTCATGTTAACCTGGATCTGGAGAAGAAGTACGATGTACCTCTCCATCAGATCTTCAGCAGGACTGGTCATATTGACAAGAGGCTGGCTGGTGACGCCATGGTCATGCCTTGTTACAAGGAGAATCTACCTTTCCTTGGGGCTACAAGCGGCCAGGTATGTAGTGTTTAACATTAATCAAAAATCTTATTTGGGTACTTCCTATAGGAAGTAATTAATAGATTAATAGATTAATAACCACCTTCTTATATTTGAACTTACAACTTTTCCTTCTTATATTGAGATAATTTTATCAACAAACAAAACTTTTAAACCCCACCTTTGTGCAGATGGAAGCCTCCAGGCTGTCCAATGGTGTGACTACAGTATCAGTAGATAATAGTAGTCCTGTGGTTCACCTCGGTGTTTACTTGGGAGTTGGAACTGGTAACGAAACCAGAGCAAATGCCGGCAGTCTTCAAGTCATGAAAAATGCCTGGTATGTTCTTAACTTCCAATATTTTCTCTACTTTTTAAAACATCTCTGTAGTTAATTGTTATCTCTAATTAATTAGGTTAATTTTGTGCTGACCTTTAAATTGGTCCAGGTTAGGATCAACTACAAGGCGAACTCTGATTGGCGGACACAGGGAACCACTACAGTGTGGAGCCAATATCGAGTTCAATGTTGGACGAGATATCACTTCAATCACTGCTTCTTGTCCTAGAGATAAGGCTAGCTTGTAAGTTACATATTGTTCATCTTGTTGTCGGAAAATATAAAATATTTTGAACTTTCCACTCAAATTCGTCTGTCATCAGCTCTCTAGTCATTGTTCTGATCTACGTATTATTTACTTATTTGAAGTATTTCACAACAATATCGTGATATTATTAACGTACTTTTAAACTTCCCAGAGTATTGGATCACATGACACAGAACTTGGTGTGCCCGGAATTCTTCAACCACGAACTCCACCAAGCTAAAGTTGATGCCCTTCACCAGACTGGTGTTGCTCTGTCTGATCCTGCCACTATTGTGATGGAGGAGGCCAACAGGGTGAGCTGCTAGTGTTACAATTATCGACCATGTTAACCATAACTTTGTGTTGATAACTAGCCACAACATTGGGAATGGGACTTTGTTCTTGAACCCAATGTTAACAGTCTATGTTTGAATGCGGTTCATTTTGATTCCTTTGATCCCACTGAATGTGTGTATTTAAATTGTTGACGTGTATCACAGCTCGCATACCGTGGAACTGGACTGGGCAGATCTATCTACTTAAAAGCGGGAAACACGGGAGCAATTGAGCGTAACACTCTGCTCGACTTCGCTGCTGAGAACTTCAAGGACTCTAACAACATCGCTGTAGTTGGTGTTGGTAAGTTATTGTTTATAGCCAGGCTTCAAACTTCTGTGAGAGTTTGGACTTTGTGAATTGTGAGCAGTGAGGGTGGTTCAATGAATTCTCACGACAATGTTATTTTATACAACTTTTATGATAATTTTTGATTTGATTGATAAGAATTTTTCCGTTCACCATTCATAGTAGTTCCAAATTATTAATATTATTACTACATTTAGTTTCCAGTGTAAGTTGATCCCATGTATGACTAGTATAGTGGTAATGATAACCACCCCAACAGGTCTAGACCCAGAGAACCTGAGTGGATTAGCTGACGAATACCTCTGGTCACTAGAAGGAGGTTCTGCCACTGTTGCTAACACCACCTGGACTGGAATGCAGGAATCTCAGATCGAGGCATCTGGTAATGGGGCTCTAGCAATGTGTCTTGTTGAGGGAGCTGCTGCTGGGTCACAGGATGCCCTTGTATTGGGCATTCTCAAACATCTTGCTGGTTAGTATTTAGTAGAGACACGTGGTTTTTATTCTGGAAATGTTTGAAGAATGTTCTAGAATAATTGAAACTGAGACGGTAAATTAAAAACTGTTCAAAAGTACTCGGTCCAAAACAAAATATCGTTTTTGCAGGAGCGGGAGGTTCAGCGATAACCCACGGTGGATCACACAGTCAACTCATATCCGCTGCAGCACCCTACACTCAATCACCCTTCAATACCCAGTGTGTTAACATTAACAATGTTAACACTGGCATGTTCGGGCTCAGTATCTCCGCTGCTGGACAAGAGGTTTTATTTTAGTTATTTTATCAATTAAGTTGACTAATTTTGTTACTTTATTGCTAGTTTATTTTAGTTAATTTTGCAATTTGAAAGTTAAGATTGACAACCCAGAGTAGTTATTTAACTGTAAACCTAATATTAGTTTACATTTTGTAATTCATTTCCTATTCAGATTGGGGATGTACTGAAGTCTTCTTATGGTGTTATGATAGGACTTAATGATGGTGTTTCTGACCAAGCACTTGAAACCGCTAAAAACAAACTCAAACTCGAACTTTTATCTGCAGTGAGTTTAATATTCTTCACTTCTAAAATTTCTGTTTTAAATCAAGGAGACCCATAAAATATTGCCTCTTTTAGTCATTTCTAACCGTGTGAAGTTTAACATTTAAAATAACAAATCTTTTTTTCAGTACGAAAGCAATCTGGCTGTACGTGCAGCGACCGGTCTTGAGAGCATAGCAGCTGGCAGTCCCAGTTCGGCATCTCAATTATGCGGTGCTATCGACTCAATTACAAACGAAGAAGTGATTGAAGCAGCAAAGAAAATCAACAGCTCTGCTCCTATCTTGGTTTCGTACGGCAACGTGGAAAGCATGCCCCTTCAGAGAGAATTACAATAGAATAAATGAACTAGTCTATTTATTAAACGAGATTAACAACTGATAAACTGAAGTGCTGCGTTCGATTTATTTCCTGATTTGTAAATATTAAAATGACAGTCGTCTTTCGTAATGTGTTATTTTATAGGTTGTCACCCACGGAATTGCTAGAGTTACTTGTCTCCCTGATATTGGGCCAGTCACAATAATCTAGAGTCGCAGTGTAAAACGGATGGCGCGAAGCAGTTTTGCGCAATGAAATCAAATTTTGGCGCACGTACGAATACGTTAGGAAACCTATATATATATATATATATATATATATATACGTACATATATATATATGCAGCTCAGCAATTTTTAACCCCCCCCCCCTCCGTAATCAAACGTAATCAAGATCGAACCCCCCTATATTACGTAATCAGGGTTTGACCCTCCCCCCCCCCGTAATCAAGACCCAACTCCCCTCCTATATTACGTAATCAAGATTAGACACACCCGCCCCCCTCCCTATCTATTACATGTTCATGTTAAGCCATTTATTTATTAAAAACTATCACAACGGATTAATGAATGAAATAATCGCAAAGCACAAACGAAAATTGGTTTAAAAAACGAAAATTTTGGTTACATAATTAACGATTTTAACCAATTTTCCAATTGGTATCTCGAAAATCGGTAAAAAATTAAAATTTTGATTACGTAATCAACGACCAAACCCCCCCCCCCCCCGTAATCAACCGTAAGCATTTGAAACCCCCCCCCCCCCCCTCGCCTGATTACGTAATATGTGAACGACCCCTTATAGCCCAATTAAATAAACGGTCGTGGGTATCAGTGTTACTGTTATGTAGTGGTGAACATTTAATGTACGATTCCTATGACCCATCTATGAACCATCTTCGGAGGCCCTCGTTCATATCATGTGTCAGTAAACTGAAGTTCCTGTTAACTGTATGCTGCTTGTTAAAAATAAATAAAATCATAACAAGCCTTAGACCACTTACACTGTTAAACGGATCGAGGAAGATGCTCACTCAAATTGCCTTAAAACGGGTTGACTGTTGAGAGTAGAATTGACAACTATAGTACACCATGCCATGGCAGAGTGCTTACAAGAGAGGTAGGAGCTGCTCTGACATTGTGTGGGCTCAGAGAATGCTCATATCTGTTGTGATGAGGAAGAAATGGACATTTAGCAAAATGGGTATTGATATGAGTAGAGCTTTTGATACCGTGAAAAGGGACACTATCATCAATGTTTTGAAAGATGCTGGTTGTTCGGAGGACGACATTCGCTTAGTTCAATACCTTCTATCGAATACTCTCCTTAGAGTTCGTGTTAACTCCTCACTGTCGGAAGAGTTTGAAAGTTTACTCGGAGCCTTTCAAGGTGACAGTTTATCTGGAAAGCTATTCACACTTATTCTTGCAGCAGCCTTACACCACCTCAGAGCTGTATCTGGGAGACCAAACCCAGGGGGGGGGGGGGGCGTAACCCAAAAAAACCCAACTCCTACCCAAGAAAAGGTAATACTGGGATTGGGTTTTTTTGGGTTTTTTAAACAAAATTTAAACAAAATTCTAGCCATTTCATTTGTTGTATTGAATGTGAATTATTTCCCACTGAGTCTTACCTACGTGTTGTTCTCATGTCTTAACTTAATAGATAGTTTACATAGTATATAAGTGTGTTTATAATAAAATTATGTTATCACGATAGCAAAGAGGATGTCTAGTTCATCGAGATATAATCCATATGAATGCAGAAAGTGGAAATTTGCAAATGTGTTCTCCTGTCATTGAAAGAGGCTATGACGAAGGTCAAGGGCAAGTCAAAGCACATGACTTAAATTACTTGACTTAAATCAAGAGGCTTGCATATAATGAACATATTGACACGGGTGCAGAGTTGAGTCTGTACGGAACCTAGTAGTTTCAGATCCTTGTTTAAATTGTCGTACAGCAAGGTCATCCACTACTTTAGCCCGGCGAGGCACATAACTCCCTCTACAACTCCATGACAAATGTTTCATATATACTAGCCGAGTTCACAAGATATATCCTTGTGTTTGAGAAGAGCTCGTTAGAACTGCTTCTTTTCCCTTCAGTATCCCACAGTCTCTCGAGTTTCGTAAGTGCCAGAGAACTCTCTTAAACAATTACTAGACTCGGTGATTATAAATCAAGAGGCTTGCATATAATGAACATATTGACACGGGTGCAGAGTTGAGTCTGTACGGAACCTAGTAGTTTCAGATCCTTGTTTAACTTGCCGTACAGCAAGGTCATCCACTACTTTAGCCCGGCGAGGCACATAACTCCCTCTACAACTCCATGACAAATGTTTCATATATACTAGCCGAGTTCACAAGATATATCCTTGTGTTTGAGAAGAGCTCGTTAGAACTGCTTCTTTTCCCTTCAGTATCCCACAGTCTCTCGAGTTTAAGGCGGCTTCAGAGTCCGAGTCTCAATGATGTGTCTCCAAAGTTTCTGTCCGCCATAAGCTCCTTAATCTTCCCAGTGTTCTTGAGTACGGTGTCACTTATTAGGTTATCGACGAAGGTGAGCGGTGGTCTGCCCCTCCCTCTGGTCCCATGGCTAGGTTCCCGAAGGAGAAGTTGGTGTACTGCCAGGTCATCATATCGCTGGATCTCTGGATGTGCCCAGCCAACCTCATTCTTCTGGCCTGTATCTTCGAACTAACTCTTGGGAGTGATCCAAAGACCTCTTTGTTGGTGCGATGTTCTCTCCAGTCCACGTTTAGGGCCATCCAAGGCATTCTACTGTAACATCCGTCTATTCTTTTCAAAGATTATGTCATTGTCTACGTTTCCGTTCCATACAGGAAGATTGATTCAACTGTAGCCTTGAAACAGACGGATCTTTAAATCTCGGCGCAATTTGGACCTCCATGTAGCCCTCATTTTGTGGTAGGCAGCCCATGCCTTGGCATAGGGAGCCGTATCCTGACTATCAGAGTGTGGTCATAGTAGACTAGGTTGAACAGGGTAACAGCCAACACCTCTTTAGCTACTGTGCAATCCACAGTAAAGATTTACGAGTCTATAAGCCTCTTGTAGACCAAGAGTTAAGGAGTCAATAGATCAAATTATTGAACTTCCGGGGCTCAATGTCTCCCGTCGACCGTCCTGCCTTTAGCCTGGACCCCCTGTACAGTATCCAGTCTTCACCACGCGGAGGTAGTGGCTTCCATCATGCTTTCCTATGAGTGTCTGGAAGAGGGCACCAGCAGGATACCCCTTTTCAAAGTTCTGGGAGCCTCACATCAGACCAAGGCTTCCACCCAGCTTCTATCCAGCGGTGACGCCTTGGGCCATCTAAGCTTCACACAACCATTGAAAGACCACCTGCCTACTTGTAAAAATGTTGATGATGCGATTATTACAGTCGAGGGTCTGATGCTGTACATTCTCAGTGTAACAGCTGACAACAGTTATCAACACTTTATGCCCTGGCTGTTTACATCCGATGCCTGCGAGCAAACTTTATGCTTTCCTGCGCAATGCGCATAGGCCTCCATGCAGGCATTAGAACTAATCTGTGTTCTAAGGATATGTTGGATGGCATGGGCAAATCAAACCGTTCCCTCGAGCTTGATGCACTCGGCAAAAGTTTGATCCCTGTAACAGTTGCCCACTCTCGCAACAAGCTTGTTATACCGCATCCGAAAGCAGAGAAACTATTTAGAGGTAAAGATACTTCAATCCCAAGATTGTTACAAGCTATGAAGAAGGGAGTCTCAAGGGGTAGAGAACTCCTTCAAGAACACTGTAACTTTGAAGGAGAGGCTTTCCAACCATCTTCTGACGGAGCAGAGAGTGACGAAGCGGAAACAGATGATGAAGAAGAGGAAGTGGAGGATATTGACTCATCAGAGAAATGGGCGAAAATAGTAACTGTGTAGTGTGTATGGTGATGCTCTGCATCATGATACGGCTGTTGAGGTTTGCCTCAATGGAGAACGAGATCGAATGCCATCCCAGTCAATATTTTAGCGACTCCAGGGCCATAAACAAGCGAAGAGATCACTTAATATCACATGTGATCATGCAGCTGATAGTAACTGCAAGATTCTTTCAGTTGGAGATAGAGCATGGTTTCTCGTTAAGCGGATGATCAGGAAAACGGAAACAGAGATCGTGAAGGTGAGAAGAAAGGCTTTATTCCTCTCGTACCGGTTGCGGCCAGGGTTGGGGTCATCAGTAAGTTGCGTCCCTACTAACTCAATTTGCCATGGCCATCGAAGTGAGCATTACATATGGCTGATATCATATCTGGATGGCCAACTTCTTCTGAGCACATCAGTGAATAAAATACTGCTTTTGTGTGATATTTAAGCGATTATATCTATTATCTATTGTGATGTTGTAGTGATGAACCACAACAGTGATGTTGTACTGATAATTGTTTTGCTAGGTGCCTACATGATTTTATTTCCTTCAAATGAAAAATTTGTAAAAAACCCAAAAAAACCCAACTCCTACCCTGAAAAAGGTAATTCTGGGATTGGGTTTTTTTGGGTTTTTTTGGGTTACACCCCCCCCCCCCAACCCACCAGTATCAGAACTAGGTTTTCCAACTGAGTGGGAATATTCAGACGATTGTGACTTTGCTGACGAGGACATCGAGAAACTGAGAATTTTCCTTCCTGCAGTGAAGCCGTGAAGGAGATTCTCAAAGACTGGAACCTCCAAGTAAATGAAAGTAAAACTGAATTCAGTACCTTCTACCTGGCGGAAAAATCTGATAAAGACACAAACGGTCAGCCATTAGCTAATAACGAACCTTCAAGAAGGAGAATCTTAGCTGAAATTCCTTTTAAGAACTTCGAAAAAGTATGGTTGTCCGGTAAGAAAATTTCCCTTGAAAGAATGCTGAGGTTATACGATGCTCAAGTTGTATCTGTATTGATTTACAACTCAAATAGTTGGAGTCCTAAAAAAGCAACCATGGAGAAAATGGACACACTTCATCGTAGACACCTCAGTGCTCAGGTCCATTTTAAACATCAAATGGCCTAAAGGTATGATAAGCAACATAGCATTGTATGAAAGGTGCAAAGTTGAAAAGTTATCCAAGCGTATTGAACACCAGCGCTGGAAGATGTTTGGACACATTCTCAGGAGTATGGAGAACA